CCTTGTACCTATCCTTCTTAGGGGGCAAAAAATGTATTGTGATTAAGTAAATATTAAAACTTAATTCTTAAAGAGCCATTTTGATCCCAATCGAGAATGTATTATATCAAAGCTACTCGATCTGGCTTCAAACTGTTCTCCCATTTTAAACATCACGAAGTATATAATTACCTATTAGGTAATCAACTGAAATTTCGTAAGATAATAGTCTCACTATTTCTTTCCCAGGAATTCTTGTGGCTCCTAATGTCTGGCTGGCGTTTTTGGTGAAGAGACCACCAGGACAGCAGCGTTACAAGAGCACACTTATCATTTATGGTTGTTTAGTTTTTGCGTCCGTCATTTTTATCCACGTAAGAGCAGTTGTGTTCTTGTTAGTGAGCTTGAAATGTACTGAAAGACTTCATGACAATATGGTGATAGCTGTCCTGCGAGCGCCAGTTCTTTTCTTTGATTCTAATCCATTGGGTAGAATTCTCAACAGATTCTCCGAGGACATCGGATGCATGGATGAAATACTTCCCCAAAGGTTTCTACTCTCGATTCAGCTGTCGCTGCTACTTTTGACCACGTTTACTCTACCAATCGTCGCAAATCCCTGGCTTCTGATCGTCTTTTTACCGGTTGCTGTCCTGGTCGGTTTTATCACGAGATATTACCTAAAGACATCTAGAGACCTGAAAAGATTAGAGGTAGCATCTCGTAGTCCGGTCTTGTCTCATTTAGCGGAAACTATGAATGGTGTGGATACTATTCGAACAAGAAGCAGGCAGAGAGCTTTCGAGGATAAGTTTCACAGGTACATGTTTAATATGTTTTGGTACATGTTGCAGATAAATTTCAGATATTCATGTCAGTCTTGTCGAGCAATGGAACGGGGGAACGGTGTTCCTAAGTCTCAGGATGGGTGCCGCCTGCAGCGAGGTTTTCTTTAAAAAAAAAGAGAAATTGATAAAAATGAAATAGATAATTTTAAAAAATTTATGGACAGAAAAAAATGCATAGACTGAAAAAAAAATACCATAAAAACAAAAAGGATTGAAAACCCCGGCCGATAAATGATATCCTGCGGGCGCAGATAAGGAAAATTCCCTCCATAAAGCATTTCAAACTATTAACAAAATAAAGTGTACCTCCTTAAATTTTGATTTTTTTTTGTTTCTGATTTTTTAAGCTCGCTTCCAATTTCATGTAATGTATATTTAACATTGCCAAGCTAAAGAGGGTTAGACACGAAAAAGTCGATTTGAACCAAACTTTGTATGCACTTGGGATAGGCAGATATTATTGACATTATTATTACTATTATCATTATCACTAACTTTTTTCCCAAAGGCATCAAGATCTCCACAATCAGGCAAGTGTTATGTGGAAACAAGGAGCGAGATGGCTTTGTGTTCGCCTGAGTCTTTTGTCGTGCCTATTAGTGACCGTAGTGGCTCTCGCATCGATATTGATGTCACAGGATGCCGGTGAGTAAAAATGTAATCTTTTGGACTCGCAGGAAACCAGGTGTCAAACTTGATCCACGTTCCATAATTCTCTTAAATTATAAAATTCCATATGCACATTGTATTACCAGCCTCCTTTGCAAAGATTTTTTGAAGGAAAAATTGATGTTACAGAAGGCATAAACTGAAGAACGATAAGAAAACGACAAGCAGCAACAACAACAACAACAATGGTATCCAGATTTTATCTAGAGGTGCGCCATAGCACCTCAGAAGCTAATCTTGGACGCAGGCTAATCTAAGGACGCAGGCGGCTGACATTCATTGAGTACATATAGTATTAGTTAAACTATGCCTAAATTCGCATATAATTTTGATTGCTAAATGCGGTATATTCAATTCAAAACAAAATTGCAAGTAATGGTATGGCAAGAGATCCACTACTGCAATAATGGTGTTTAGGTTAAGAGCCTCTAACAAGTACAGAGGCAGGTTTCCTTGATCTTGACCACCCAAGCAAGGGTTATTTGTTGTATAAATAAGAAAAAAAAACCTTTCCTTGTTGGTGAGTCGACAGCCTTGGTCAGCTGTTTACCATTCTTCGTAAGAACAATACCATGTAACACCTGGTGGTTTTCTGAATCAATTAGTCATCCTGATAATATTCTGGGTTGTCAGCTAATATTGGCCCGATTTCTCTTGCCATTTTAGAAACGTTCTGTAAAATAAGATGCAGCTATAAACCTTAGAGCATTTAATTTGTTTCACGCCATCATCCATTGTATAAAACCACACACCGGAAGCATCAAAAGACAAAAGCTAATCTTTTAATAGAGACGAAACTCAAATAGATCTAGATTCAAATCCAAAATACAAGATCATTCTTTTCTGAGGAGATTTATGTGTCGTTTCTTTTTGGCCTTTCAGCTTTTGCGGGACTATCTCTTGCTTACATCATCCAGATTGTTGTCTTAACTGAACTTACTGTCAGAGAATTAGCAAATGTCGAGACTTATATGACGTCAGTCGAACAAGTGATGGCATACACCAAGATTGATCCTGAGCCCGGATACAAACAGGAACGACTTCCACCGGCGCGATGGCCAAGCGAAGGAAATATCACATTCCAAGACTTTTCACTGACTTACTATCCTGGAGGTCCTCAAGTGCTGAAGGGCATCAATCTGTCAATCAAAGGAGGTGCAAAGATCGGAGTGGCGGGACGTACAGGAGCCGGGAAATCATCAATTGTTGCAGGTCTTATGCGCATGCCTGACCCAAACGGACAAGTAATAGTTGATGGCATTGGATTGAAAGATCTCAACATACAGGCAGCTCGAAGATTCATATCCATTCTCGGCCAAGACCCCGTCATCTTTGGTGGTCCTTTGCGGAAAAATCTTGATTTCGAAGAGCGGTTCGAAGATGCTGATCTGTGGCGAGTGCTAGAGGATGTGCAGCTAAGAGACTTTGTAGAAAGGCTCGATGGACAGCTGAATTATGAGTTGTTAGAACAAGGGTCGAATGTAAGTGTCGGAGAGCGGCAGCTGATTTGTTTGGCCCGTGTGCTGCTGCAACGAAATCAAATCGTCATCTTGGACGAGCCTACTGCGAACGTGGATCCAGATACAGAACAGACCATTTGGAAGGTAGTACGCAAGATGCTCAAGAACTCCACAGTCATCATTATAGCACATCGCCTGCACACTATCCAGGACTGTGACAAGATTCTTGTTTTCCATAATGGCGAGATCTCCGAATATGACAGTTTGGACGAAGCTAGCAAGCACCTTACATAGAGTTTCCCAATTTATGGGCAATAGCCTCCATTTGGCGCAATTTATACACGGATATCCGTCCGCGGACATCATCTTTATCAAGATGCGATATATTGACCTGTTCTCAACCAATGAGCTGCTAAAATTTGTTCTTGTATGTCATCAAAGCTTTCATGGCACACTGCTTTTTTCATGGTTTTAATTGGGTGGATAGTTTTATTGGACAATATATGCGTTACCCACCTCTTTATGACTGGACGGTACGCTTCATTTGCGCGATCCGATTGGTATACCCTAAGAGGTATTTTGGGTAGATTTCAGATTACGGTTCCTGTTCCTTGACCAAATGATTTCAGAGAAATCTTTGAAAACGTCAATGTAAGGGCGAGGCATCGCGAGTTTTATGAATTTATCTACTTTTTTTGCGTGCTAAAATTCATTGATGAACAGATACTCAGAGTACCTTTCAAGATCGCTGCGCGCAGTTTTGACCCTTTTCTTCCATTACATTTTCTCACCGTTAAGCAAAAATACTGTTCATTTCTGAGCGGGCAGCTTAGAAGAAAACTTCCAAATTTTCTCGTTATCAAACAAATTGGAAAGATGAAAACGCTGCGTACTTTTCAAGCGAACGAATAAGTTTAAGAGAGGATGTCAGCATCCATCGCACAAATTTGAAATATTTTGGTAAGTCGCCCAAAATTTGCTTTCAACCTTACTTTCGTATTTTGTAGCCCAATATGTCCTAATAATTGTGGTGTAGTTTTTTTGTCAAGATATATTTTAGTTCTCGAGAAATGATTTTTTTCGTTCGACCGCTCAAATATGCAAATTTCACCGTGAATATTACCCGAGTTGTGTGACCTCATGTAACGAATATACTTGACCTCCAGTTTTTCTGTCAACATAATCCTTTATTTTATCATCTAAACTTAATACTCTTTCATTACTGGAGCCAGCAAAGAAATATTTATTTTTTGGTTAATATTTCTGTCCGACATACTTTTCCTATGTCGAAAGTAACATCAAAACAAAGACAGTTTTAACAATGACCGATATGACAGAAATTACTGAGCTTCGAGCTTTTAAAAGACAAAAAGATGGTTAAAAAGTTACTGTAAAAATTTCCTTGTGTATTTGTGTTTTTCTATCTTAAGACGAACTCAAAGTCCGCCAAAATTTACTTGCTAGCGACTATGAAATATACATGGTGTGCCTTCTTGTCGATCTCAAGCCCAATCCCATGTAAATTTTTGTATGACCTTTCTCTCCCGGTGAGATCACAGGCAGATCACACTATGAGCTTGTGGTTAACAATTGCAGATATGAGGCGAGCGAAATCTATGAGGATTATGAATAAAGCTCTGAAAATTACATATCTAAATTACACCTCGGTCTGAATATCTCAATAAAGTTAGATAAAATGTTTATCAACTCGTTTGTGGTGTTTTTTCACCTTCATGGGCCGTTTGAAGAGTCTTTTTATTACGAAATTACTTCCGGCCAAAAGTAATTTTGGAAGAATTTACAGAAATGACGGATAATATTATTTCTGTGATAATTAAGTTTCAAATCTTAAACAACTTTTCCCACCTCTAAAGTTCTCTTTCACACAAAGCAAATACTCTTGGCGTATTCACGAGATTTGCAGAGAATGAAAACTTTCATTTAAAATGAATCATGAACAACGTGGTGCCTGACTTTCAATGAAAAGTACAGTATTTATTTGCTTGAAGCGCCCTGTGCGCTTATCAAATTTTTGGAGCTTGAGAGTTGGGACGTTTATCTGATGTGGGCGCTTACTGCCCTTATTCGTGGCTAAGCGCTTCTTCAATTTTCACCACTTTTAGCAAGTAGTTAGTTTATTTGGCAACTAAACAATAACTGATAACAAAAGGTGACGATGTACCATAGGGGAGTGAATTTAGAGTTTGTAAACCAGTAAAGAAATTATAATCCTCCCCTGATACATTTCAGTTTCCGCTTATTCGAAGCCGCCGGGCTCTCATTAACTCTCTCTAGGCGCTTATTCGAGGTGGCTGCTTACAAATGATACTATTCTTGCGAAAAGCAAAATCATGATTTAGTGAAAAGTCTAAATAAAAATGCGTATAAAAGAAAAGAGAAGAAGTTCGAAGAAAGCAAAAGACTACACAAATGGTGCGACATGGGCGCAAACCGAAATCCCCAGCGACTTCAGCCGATGAGAGATACGATGACACCTGAGAAACCTCCTATTAATCAATAAATCAATCGTTTCCTTGGAGGAATTTAAAAATGGTGAAGCTTTAATCATCTCACCCCTCTGAAATGGTAGTTACCAACGTTTGATTTTATTATCTTTAATAGATGGGAAGAGTCTTCTTTTTGGAAGAACCGAGAAACTTTTTTCTCAAAAAAAGTTTTTTACATTTTCATAGGATCGTCGTTACTTATCCTTATCTAAAGCTCGAACCAGAGGTCTTTCCTCAGAAACGTGAAAAAAGGCGAAAATTTAAATTAGTCCCATCTTCTGAAAAGCCTTTTACTCTAGAATTTAAATTTTCACAAGGAGAACTTTTATCTTGCCAGAACTCTTGATTCAACAGCTCTATGTGTATAGATGTAGATAAATCATTTCCAAAGCCGAGTTCCCTACACATTTTTGACACCTCTCTGAAAAATACTGATTGGATGTTCCGTATAGTTGAATACAACATAAGTACGTTGAAGATGCGTTGGCGATCGATATTCGAAGGCTTATATCTCGTATTTGCGATTGCATCAGAAGCCATGCAAAGGTCTTGTCCACTAGAGAATACCAAAATGTTTAGAGAAAGTACTACAAACTGACTAAAAAGTTTGTCAGAAAGTTCACCGATCATCCGCCATTAGTGGACAATCTTCGCTCTTTGTTGATTTCTAAAACGATTGTTCCAGCTTTGTGCTTTTTTCAGATCCTCTTTTTGTTCTGCCATGAGCTTCTCCAGAAAAGCATACTCCACCTCCATTGTCTGATAACTCCAACTTAAGTCCTCCAGCCGCTGGATAATATCGACGTACCAATGATTCTTAAGAGGGCTGTCATGGCGCGAGTTCAGGGTTGGAAACTCCGATGGAGAGAGAACCATTTTCTCGTTGTTTACAAATTGATGTAGTGTAGAATTTACGCCATCGGTGGCCATGGTTTCCTATGAAATAAGAAATTCATAGTGAGGCGACTTTTGCGAAAATTCTTGTTTGTCATTTATGGTGTCTGTCAGTCAATTGGTCAGCAAGATATTCAATCAGTCAGTTAGTTGATCAGTTAGTCAATCAGTCTACATGCATTTCCCATGCACGCGTCATAGCAGTGTTTATTATGCATAAGGATTTTACTTCACTGTAACTGCAGCTTAAATCTATAATGAAAGCAAAGCGTCTGTTCCTAAGTGTGAAACTTGTCTGTATTCGCATTGAATATTACTTAGTTATCCTGCACACTATTAGTAAACGTTTCAGACGCATAAACTTAATATACTCAAAGAGCGAACTGACATGGATTCTTGAAGCTTTTGTGAAGAGTTTCGTCATTCATGGCTATAATTTTTTACTAGAACTTGCCAAGATGAAAACGCGTATTTATATTGATTTGTTTCAGCCGACAACACACATAATCAAAGGATAATTGCCTCTAATTTAGACAGAAAACCACAAAAAAAGACTGTACTAATGAAGGCAATTAATGTACCGTTGTTTAACATCAACAAGTCAAAAAGTTTGGCAACAAATCACAACATAAGTACCTTTTAAGCGGAGTAAAAATCTAGGTCAGTTCTTCTTCATTAGAGAGAGCGTGAACAAGTGGTTGAGTATCTGTGCTCAGTTTACGAAGTCTTGTTTATAGAGTACGTGGGCAGAACGCGTTAGCTGAAGTTCTTAACATTCTCGAGATTTTACATCGCGCCGTTCTTTTGTGTAAATTATTCTGAGAGTGAGTCAGTTCTTTGTTTCAAAAGCGCCTCTTTCAAATGTTTTCTTTTTTCTCGCAGTTGGCTTCCATTTGTGAGAGGGTACGTATGTTAACCCCTGCGGGTCTTAAACGACTCGACCTCCTTGAAGAGAAACATTGGAGCCTTGATTTAAATAGGATAAGAAAGCTGGTAAATTTTGAGCTTAGCCGTTGAAGAAAGTGGGATGCTTTTGCTTTTTGTCGCATGTGTTGATATTCTGGCTTTCCTGTCCCACGCTCGACAAAAAAAGCCAACGAACAAGAAAAAAAAAAAAAAGAAAATATTTTTCAACTTTGACTTAGTTTTTATGGTTTGACTTCGAACAGGACTTAGACCATATAATCAGAGAAACACACAACCATCGTGTAATTATTTAGGTCTTCACCCTCCCAAATAAATCGTAGTCTGCCAAGCCAGTTATTGGGTTTTCCAGTTTTTCCGCGCTTTAGATCGTTTTCAGCCGAATACTGCTTTCGAAACTGAGTTCTCATATGTGGCTTAAAACGTCTACACTCGATTGCAAAAACGTCGACACCTAAAAAGCGTGATCTATAAATGATCAGACATATGGGCTTTATGAGAAATATTCGCACAGTTACATAATCAATAAGCTGTTCTTTTTCCATTATTCATGAAAATCTTTGTTTATGATAATTCTTTACCACGTGCAACCACCTGTGGTTCTTACGCACAGGAGTATCCAAAAAGCCTTTGTGTCCCATCGTTCATTGCTAACGCTTTTTGGGCGTAAATTTTTTTGCAATCAGGTGTATGTAATTTTTTGAAATTCGATGGACTTCTGGATATTTATACTATTTAACCTTGCTTTCTATACTCTGTGAATCCGCCTAATTGTATGATAATGAGTCAAACGACAGTGTTACTTACATGAAAAGGTTTTCTTCGAACTTCACAGCTTTCCCTATTCGGAAACAAAGTCTCGTTTTGAAACCCGCTGATGTTTTGTTGTCGACCTCGCGGACTCAAGGAGTCATGCTTTTCCGGCGTCGAGGTCCTAGGTGTACCCTCCACGGGCTTTTTAGTCACTTGGCTCGATACTGACGAAGACAAGGTGTCTCCGGAAGTACTTTTCTGCAGAGTGGTGACTGACGTGTTGTTTCCTTTCTGTTGAGGGCTTTTTTGTGAGCCAGGCATCTATAAATCAAACAGAAAACATGTAATCAGCATGTTACCTTCTGCGCTTCAGATTTAAATTTTGTGGTTCCCACGAGGCTGCTTTAAAAACAAGAAAAATCGAGGAGAACATTTCGCCTTTCCTCTTGTAGTTTTACCAGATACTGAATTGATCTAGTTCATTATTTTCAAAACTTCCCATTATTCTTCTGCGAACTCATAATTCTTCTGCAATGATGTCTAAATTCAGTCAGAAACTAGCTTTTCTTGTAAATCCGTTTATTACTGGATCTTCAAACTCTCATCCGTTTCTGTAAAGTAAGATTTTAGCCGCAATTTACAAATTACTTGAAAAATCATAACTAAAGAGCCAACAATTTAACTGTGCAGGCCAACTTTATATTAAAATTGCCTTTTTTTTATCTAATATATCTTTAACCAAAGAGTTTTGGGGCAAAATCAGTACAAGGTTGTCGAGAAATAATTATCAAACCTTTCGCAATTTGCATTTTAATGTACCAGTCAGGGGTATTCCCGCCCAAAACAATATTGAATTTGAACTAATCTGTCGAGGTAAATGCTCTTCAGGTATCAATGTTGTCATCGATATTTCTAGTTTAGTTTGGGCTTCTCATTCAAGAACAATTTTTTTTTAACATATCCCGTACAGTAAAAAAATTTCCCTTTCATTTTTCACCGACTTCTCTTCCACATGTTTGAGAGCAAATTTTCCAACAATAGAGAAATCTCATTTCACTTTTTTTTTTCAAGTAATGCAGGTGCACCTTATTGTCATTCTTTTCAACAAGTATATTCCTGCAACGAAGACGTCGAGATGAATTTGTCGAAATTAACATAAATATTCAAAATGAAAAAAATAAAAATAAAACCTGGCAAATCGGGAAGTTTTGGTTGAGATTTTTGATCTCGTAGCAGTTTGATTTGGCACATGCTTTGTTTTTGCCTTTCGCAACCAAACCATTATGAACAAATATTCCTTAGCATAAACAATTTGGACGTTTCTGGGATAATGGCTTGGGTAAACATTACAAAAAAACTACCTCCAACCAAAAATTTTGTCCAAACTGTCTGATGCATTACCAGTTATGTTGTAAATCAGATTGAAGATATTTATTCTCATTGTCTTCAAGCCTTTTTGTTAAGGAAAATATACTAGCTTTCTTTTCTCTGTTTTTTTAATTCAAGCGAAGTGTCACAGGAAAATCAAAATAGCTACGGTTCAAATTATCGTGTTCCCTACCTTATCTGGATTTGTTTCTCGGCTCGTGTTTGTAGAGAGATGAATCTACAAGGCAACAAAAACTAAAAAATCAAATGAACTTCGTTATATCTTAAAAAACTTAGCACAAATAGGGATCTGTTCCAAGAAGATGCTGCGCGTTTGAATGACTGTCATAAAGAACTACTGTTATATTCAACCTACCATCACTGCTGAGACATATGTAACCTGTTCTTCAGGAACAGATTTTAACGGCAATCCCACTGATCTAACTCGAGGAGTTTTAGATCTTGATGTGACATACTGCGAGCGATACATGTTCAGTGGGGGAAAATTAATCGAGATTGTATTTAGATTTTGTCGGCGCACTCTTTCCTACAGCTGTTTCCGCGTGGTTTTGAGGACGTAAATTAATTCATAGTATGAATTATTAATCAACAAAAGACCCGCTGAAACAGAATTTTACGACTCAGCCTCCGATACGTACATCATAATACCCGCGATAATCGACAAAATTTATAGTTTCGAAAATTTGCATTGCATATTCGGAATTTAAACGCCTTGGATATTTAAAACTTGCAAAATTAAGTGTAAATTATCATGATATGTACATCATTTTTCTGCTAAGATAGGAATTTATTCTAATCTTTCAGTTTGGCTTACTATTTTGACTGCTCTAATCTTCTTTGTCTTTATGGTTACCAACAGGCAGCAGGATTTCGATGTCCACTGACAAATAGACGTGCATATTTTCGCACCAAAAGAAGGCTAATGCTTATTTATGAAAGATGCGAAAGTTGGAAATGCAAGGAAATCGTGATTTGATGTGCTAGGAAATGAGAAAAATACTCTTATAATTCAATGAGAGAAAGCAAAGGACGCAATCAAGCTTTTTTCTAGTAATTCAATATCTATTTTTAAAAACATTCCGGTTCTTTTAAGGGGCCAAGGATGTCTTTTTTCCTTCAACGTTTTTGTGACAAGTTTAAAATGTGTGTTTTTGGTCAGTATTTTGGTGTATTTCGTTATGTTATCTCTTCAGTCGGTGAGGTCCTGGAAAAGCAATACGGAAATAAAAAACAAAACGGGATTGGACGTCGCTAAGTGCTTCTATTCAGATCCTCGGTAACCTGACCATCTAGAAAATTTGGTATGGTTGACAATGGGTCATGAAAGCTTTCACTTGGAAACAATTTGCAAAATAATAATAATGATAATAAAATTAAAAAATGGAGAAGTAATTGGAAGTTCATATCTTTTACTTTTTAGAAAACAACTAAAGTAAATGGCCATGATACGCTGAAACGATGCCACAAGTTACTTGTCACAACAGTACATAAGAAAAAAGGGCTTGCCAATAAACGGGCTTTTAATTACGTCAAGTATTTCAAAATTTGGAAAATATCTCGTCATTTTGTGATACACGCCATATTGTTTCTTTTATCTTACACATGTCAATTAATTGATGCTAATTGCGGCCTAAAGATTTCTGCGGTTCAGAACAGCTTGCCGGGAAAGACATGGTCAGGCGAAAGTTTTGAGTGTATCAACTCGTGGTAGGCATGCCATCAAGAAAGAAATAGATTTAATCGCCATAAAATGAATTAAGAACGATACGAAATGATTATTAGAGGAAGAAAGAAAAACAAGAAAAAAAGAACGACTTCGATGGGCTATTGTCGACGGCTTGCCCAATACGCGTGATTTTTCAATTTTTCGGCGTGGATAACACGTTTGAAAACAAAAAGTTAATAAAATCGTCATCAAGGCCTTAACTTTTGTGTCGCAAAATGCCAGAAATTGACGTAAAATTATAAGATTGGTATCAAATAGTCTTGATACGTTTAGTTTAAACCTATGATGTTAGAAGTTTAATGCTAGTGCTGCCTTTCGTTAACAGTTGATATGATGTTCATGCTTTTTCATGCGTAATAAAAACACCATTGTGGAAGTACTGAATTATAAATGTGGGTTAGATCTGGACTAAATGTCTTAAAAATTGTTTGCAATATAATTTCTGATTGTGAGACCTTACCTAAAAATATTGTTGTGAAGTATTCTGTTCGTTACAAACAAGGAACGACTGCTGAAGGAAGCTAAACTAAAATATTTTCTTTTTGCACCATTGATGGTCCAGTTTCCGAAACACCAGTGAGCTCAATTTTTAAAGAACATATGATATATTTTACCAATGGTTTGTTGTAATAACTATATGTCATGGCTAACGAACCTCATTTTCAAATTGTTCATCGCTAGTAGCTGTGACATCGATATCCACAGCACCACCGGCCTGAGATGTGTTGTCTTCAAATTCAGTTTGTTGAACCATAGTTATGATAGATAGCGGCTGATCTGGAACTCTAGTTGAAAGGGAAGATGCCTCTTCTTAGCTCTCAAATGAGGGTCAGAACAATAATAATTTGAACTATTGCGACAGATTTTCATATTATCGTACAAAACAGAACCGACGCTAACGGACTGCATTGTGAAATCCGATCATATTGCGCACGCAGACAATAGCTTTGCATGTGCAGTCGTTACAAATTGTTTGGATATCCCTTGAGAGGCTAGGCTGCTTTTGTTTTCCTCAATCGAGTTTTAATGCCCAAGCTGTCGAAAGGTTAAGACGTTGAAGCTTTGAATTGCCAAACAAAAGATAACAAAAGATGATGTCAACGTAGTATTACGAAAGGACATTTTTTCAACGTTATTTCACAATTCAAATTTATTTTAGTCATGTTTGTCGTGTTGTTGGAATTTAATGACTCGTATTTTTCCATCTCGTCCAGCAAAGGCCAACTCTTTTGCAAGCTGACAGAGTTCGGATTTTCACGTTTATGTTCACGATTGCAAATTGAAGCCCGTGTCTACCCTACCCAGTGTTACCTAAGGAACAGGAAATAGGCTGCTATGGAGGTGTTGCTGACCATTTATGTCTTTGTGATAAGCTGGATCCTACACGCATTTTTGATCGATTCTTGCCTATGATCTATTGGAAGACAGATGCATAGATGACGTCACCCGGGATTGACAATATAAAACAAACAGATTCCATGCGCGTTGCATTGGCTCTGTACAGCTACAGGTCATAGGATTTTTCAAAATGTGGTTAGAATAACAGGCAGCGCCTCGAGTGCCACTTTTTTGTTCTTACCTCATCTGTGATCTATTACTGAACGGACCTACAACAATAGGGAGGTGCAGAATTCTGCTCTACCAATTTCGTCCTTGGAACAATTTTCCTTTCCGGCTGGCGGGCCACTCATTTGGGTTATTGAGTTGATGAGTTTTTGAAATACTTCTGATTAATTGGCCAAGTATTAACTGAAATGGTTGAGTGTCAATATGACAAACGGTTCAGCTTACTGCACTTTGGTTCGGTGACTTGACACAAACGGTTCAGAGTAGTGTGAAATGGCCAAAGTTATCGGCAAATGGTTAATCGTAAGCCGCTATGGTATAGTGTTGCATCAACGAACTCACCGTAAAGTGAAATGATTTAACGTGACCCCAAATGGTTTAACGTGACGACAAATGGTTTAGTAAAACCCGAAATGGTTTAGTGTTACAGCAGATGGTTTACGCGGTAACCGCCAAAAAAAATGGACAAGTCTAGCTTGAAATGAACAGTCTATGTAGGGTCTTACGTCACAACCCTTACGTCATTCAGATCGAATTTGGCGCGAAATGCGCCAGAACGATCGCGTTAACGAGGTATTCGCCACTTCGTCCACTCGACGTTCAACACAGGAAGAAATTATTTCTGCAACCTCGTCTAATAGACTCAGCGGACCTCATTCCGGTAATAATATTTTTTCGGTTGCCTTTTTTCGTTTGCAAGCGAATAAATTTATACCCTCATCATCAGCTGCAATATCAGTAAGTAAATGATATTTCGGATGAAACCGTTTTTATCGAGCAGCTGAACGCTCAGCAGCTTAATAATCAGTTAGTGATAAGCTTATATTTCACAGTAATTTATTTTCAGATCGTTTTAAACCATATATTTTTTAATCTCTAATTTTTATAGTTTGTTAAAACTTAGTAAAGCCGCAAATATTAGAAATTTTATCTTGAGGTCATAAAATTTGTAATAGTTGCAGCTTAACCATGTTGGGAGTTCAAATTGCTATCAGCCAGTTTCAAATTTTTCTTTTGTTCTTTCCTGTTTCTTACAGCGAAAACTGCTTTTCTTTAAATGGAGAATTCTTACCATAGTTAGGCCTAACCATGGTAAGAAATCTCCATTTTACTACCTCAAGATAAAATAAAAATCTGAAACAAAAGGAATGGCAAAAATTCAAATAAAATGCATCATTTTTCGCGTGACGCGATAGCATACTTACTGTTTAGACATTCAGAACCATTGCTTGGAAACGTGATAAAGCGATTCATTGTTTTAAGACGACGAAAATACAATTAAGGGGCTTTAAAAAAAACTATAAAAACCATTAGTTAAAAACTACATAGTTATAAATATTTTATAGCGAAAACTGCTGTACTTTAAATGGAGAATTCTTACCATGGTTACGCGTGACCATGGTAAGAATTCTCCATTTTACTACCTCAAGATAAAATAAAAATCTGACACAAAAGGAATGACAAAAATACGGATAAAATGCATCATTCATTGGTAGGAATCGTGATCAAGTGATACATTTTTTTTACGGCGTAAACTAGCTGCTGTAACACTAAACCATCTCGAGTTTTATTACACTATTTGTCGTCACGTTAAACCATTTGACTTTACGGTGAGTACATTGATGCGATACTATACCATTGCGGCTTACTATTAGCCATTTGCCGATAACTTAAGCCATTTCACACTACTCTGAACCGTTTCTGCCAAGTCACAAAGTACGGTAAGCTGAACCGTTTCTGCCAAGTCACAAAGTACGGTAAGCTGAACCGTTTCTGCCAAGTCACAAAGTACGGTAAGCTGAACCGTTTGTCATTCGACACAGAACCATTTCAGTTAACACTTGACTACTCGCGTTTTTATTGAATCAGTTCAACAAGGGTGGCTGCACAGCTTCTGAATTGTATAAACCATTTTTTGTTTGCATATTTGATTTCACCAAAGGCGACTTGTCCATTTGTATTTTAAATAAATCTCTTGAGGTAAGATAAACCGTTCTCCAACAGACAATTAAAACATTTCTGTTTATTACAGACCATTTATTATACCTGTATTTTTGGCGGTGACGGCCACCCCTACTAGAAGTAATTAAGGATGTTTCAACCTTTTTGTTTCAACCATATCATAACTGATTTATCGTTCATATAGGTATAAAAAATAACTACAAAGCAAGATTAACGAACTTTCGAGCAATCGAGCTCATGTTAACGAGAATATGAGCATGCGAGCAGTTGCAAAAATTTTGC